ATTACTCTAGGCATTTAAATGTGTGTCGAACAAATGAGAGGGATGAAAACAGTATTCATTAAGCAAGCAGAGAGAGGGAGTGATAGCTCCCAGTGGGACGGAAAAGCCTTCACAGAAGAGGTAACATTTGAGTAAGGATCTTGCAGGACGTTAGATGAGGACGTAAGGGAAGCAGAAAAGTCATAGCAAGAAGTGAAGCTTGACCAGTGGTACAAAGGAATGAAGGAAAAGTCATAGCAAGCAGAAGTGAAGCTTGACCAGTGGTACAAAGGAATGAAATCGTGTGATAAATTCAGAGAACATTGCAACCAGCATGGCCAGAAGAGCAATTCTCAACGTATTTCCTCGCCAGCCAAGACACCAAGACACATCCGAAGAACGTGCACTGGATCTGCACAATTCTCATTATGCCAATTTTAGCTCTGAAATGTTTCCACTAAAGAAACCATCTGAAATGGGAAGGACTTGTAATGCTAAAATAGAAATACTCTTGAGTCTACAATATTATATTAAAGCAGTATGTATTTTTTATCCTCAATATTTTAACTATTATTCTATCAAGTTACTAATGACATGCTTCCTGATTGATTACAACGTACCAGGGACAGAACTACTGGACTAAAATACTAGGAATCTCTATGATTGTAAACAGATTATAAGATGGACCTTATATACCATGCTAAGCAATACTGACTTTATTCTGTAAGCAGTAAGGAGCCATTAAAGTTTTTTTAATCCAGCAAATGACACACTTAATACCTTCTATATACCATTTATTAGTCTTTTAGATTGTAGCATTTTTAGAAGCATTAGTGGGAAAGGCCAGTTACCAAAAACGATTCCCTGAGTAAAGTTGTAGCTGGCATGAGAGAAGTTACTGGAACTTTGTCATGAATCTACTCTTGAAGCCATCGAGCTATGCACAAACCCAGATAAGTTTTCAGTTTCATGTGTATGATTTAATGTTTCTTTAGAGAAATAAATTCTTAAAAGGAAACTTAAGAGCTATACGGGATATGTTTATAACAATAATACTTACCTACTGAACACCGGTTTTGTGCCAGGCGCATATGTCATGTAACCATTGTAATTTAACATCCCCATGATCACATAGTTAATAAAGGGCAGAGCTGGGACTTCAAGTCTGGTTTTTCTGAACTCGACCTCTGTCTAACCAAAGCCTCACAAACTCTTTGTTTCAATGTGTGTAAAAGTATCAACTTTAACAGTAATGACAAAGATTTATATTTCATTTAATTTTTTTTGTGGGAAGATACTCTAATTGCTTTTCTCATACTCCCCTAGTTTCCTTCCTGGCCCCATAAAAAATATAACCCCATGTGCTGCTGCCACCTGGTGGCGATGTCCCTAATTTACACAAAAACCGGTTTTGGGACTATTGAAAGGGCCCTTTTATGTGACTCTCCAAAATTCAAATTAGAAAGTGATAAAAGCTCATAACATCTTCTCTGTGGCTCACTTTCCAAGGTGTGGACAACCTGTGCCTGTTTATTAGTTATGCCCGTCTGAGCCTGCGCCCAGCCTCTATCCCACCCGCATTAATCAGCCAAACCATCGCCTTGCCGGCGGTTCTTATGACTTCTCCGGTCCCGCGTCTTTGCCTCTGGCCTCTTGTCAACTCTTAACACTTTAGGCGCTTTCTCCTACATTTATTAACTGACATCCTATAGGAAGGAAGAGCTGTCCCTTCTTCCCCATTTGCTTATTCTATTACTCATTAATAGCATAAGGACTCGTGCTATTCTATGGGTTACAATCAATTATTATCATTATTTTGTTGCTTGGATTGTCCCAGTTTGGGCCACTGGGGATCCCTTCAGCGTGGCTCTAGTGTCTCTCCAACATGGCCCCACCGTGTTTTGAGTACTTCCTTATCATCTGGGAACATAAGAGATTCCAGTCCTTTCTTGCACTTTCCAGCACGAGAATCAGCCTTTCCTTCAAGGGTCCCCAGTTCCTTCTATGGGAGAATAAACTTTAGAAATCAAGATCTGGGCGTTAGATATTTATGTCAACTGTAACTGAAAAAAATTTTAATTTAATAATATGAAATTATATATCTTAGCCCTAAAAAAAAATTTTTTTTAAGGATCTGGGCATTAAAAGTATTAATTGCTTCTGAGATGTCTATTTTTATAGACATCTATATCTATTTTTATATAGACATCTATATCTATTTTTATATTGACTTATTTCATATATACTTATACACTTTTAGAACTATGATTTTGTATCTATACCTCCAACACCACAGGGTAAATCCTAATCTTTCCCTCTCTAGCCTGTTTGTAAACCACTATGTTTGGGGGTTGGTTTGTTATGCAACTTAACCGATTTGTGATTTATGCTGTGGCAACACGGGCCTGTGGCCTGTACTCACATGTGTGTGAACACATCCTTCGCCGGCTTCAGTCATTTTTGAGAAGTGCTTGGATCTATAGGCGTTTTAATTTGATACCCTTATTTTAAAGACTTAGAGGCTGCACTTCGAAAAGAAAAGGTAACATCAGCGATAGGTATGGTACCCGCTCTGAGCACCACCGTCCCCCAGAAGGGAAAGGCTAGAAATTGATCCTGTGTCTATACGAACTTATGAGGGTTGATCATGCCCAGGAAAACACTCCATAGGGAGATTTCAGTGTGTAGTAAGTGGGAATTGATGTTTCTGGAGGAGACCTAGGGAAAGTATGCAGGTAACACACAAAAACACTGTGTGTACCTTTCTCTCAACCACTTCTTATGGTAAGAATGGGTGGGGGGGGGTGTTTCTTTTCAGAGACCACTAAGATTTTACCAAGTAGGGGATAAATATGGAAGATTCAACTTCCCCCTCCTTCTCCCAGTCTCCCTTGAGGATTGAGAAAAACTGCTCTAGAAGAGATTCTGGCTCTGACCAGCAGCGAAGCGAGCAGTGGTCCATGGCAGAGAGGGAAGCACATCATCCACTCTGGAAAACATCAGTGTGGGCCAGACACAATGCCCTCTCCAAACATAGCAGTAGGAGAAAGTGACTTTAAGCTGAAATTGGGTTGTACAGGTCATTTCAAGAAAATAACCTCAGAGAACTCAGATGGATTCTTGTGTTTCCAGTTTATTCAACAGAAAAGAGGTTCCTTCACTGTGGCTTTGAGGCCTGCTTCGTCCCATGAGTGGTTTATGAATGGCCGGGCACAGACAGCCACTGTCAGGTGACCTAGAAGAGAAGACGAGGGCTTTCCCCAGCTGTTGCCCACCAACAAAGCTTGGGCTTCTTGATCTACAGCAGAGTTTTCTGGGTTTTCTTTCTTTAGAGAGAGAGGACTTGTTGGAAGGGTCATTAAGTTGACAGAAGAATGGTTGTCAAAAAAGGAATGCATCCTGGGAGCTAGATGACAGGGCCAGACCCTGTTTTCAGCATCCATCTAAACACCAAAGTAACCTACCTGGGGGCCAGTGTCCACCTTGGAAGTCAGATTCTTTCCTCTTAGCATCTTAGTGTGCCCATCAGGGATAACTGTCATCTTTCTGGAGGGGAGAGTCATCTTTTCAGGTGCTATAGACTTCCTTCTAGGGAGCATGATCTTCACTCCAGAGGGCTCAGTATGAAGATGCGTGAAGGCAATAGTCATCTCAGACTGATGACCCACAGGAGTCATGGTCTTCTCTGCAGGAGTCTCAGTCTTCCCTTCTAGAACTGCAGTATGCTTTCCAAAGGACAATTTGTCCTATGCAAGAGTCACAACCCAACCTCTGGGGACTATAGTCATATTTTCAGTCTTCCTACAGGTCTCAGTGGCCATAACCTCTCTTCCTAGGAGCAAAATCCCAGAATCAGCGGCCAATGTCTTGGGCACACTCAGCCTTTCAGGGCTAGTTCTTGAAGAATTCACAGTAGACAAGAGTCAAAATTTTGGTGAAGGAGTTGCACTGGACCCAAGAAAATCATAGGAAAGGATGAGATTGCTACCTCTTCCTCCCCATCCCCATTGATTACTGGCAGGACCAGAATCACTCCAGGACTGAAGTACCTGCTTCCAAAAGCCAGAATTGGAGGATTTCATGAAGCACCCACTTGAGGATGTGGATGAAATCCCACCACAGAAGCCCTGCTCCCCCACCTCATCACACTTACGTGACTCCGGGCGTCCATGAGAACTCAGCAGATTTGCTACGTTTCTGGTGAATGACTCCAAGAAGGAGCCTGCCAGCTCTCTATGCTCAAGTCCTCACTTTGACCTCTCTGTGCCTTCAGCAAGACCTTGCCCTCAATGCTTAATTCCTTACTTGTTGAATCCTCAAGAAGAAACCCTGTGTCCCCCACAGTGGGAGTGACCAGGAACAGTGCTGAGGGCAAGGAGGCTGCTCTAGACAACATGTAGTAAGGAACCGAGTTGGGGTCCCATCTCTGCCCCTGACTAGCTGTTACCCATCTGAGCCCCAGTCTCCTTATTCATAATATAAGGATTATAAACTATCTCCAAGGATGTTTCAGCTCCAGCGTGCCAGGTTCCATCTCCTGTCTGCCAGAATAGTTTCTACTATCAAAGAGATGTCAAAAGAAACCTAAATTCCTTTTCTGGTCCTTGTCCTATGAAAGCAGGAGGGGAACACACACACACACACACACACACACACACACACACACACGCACACACCAAACAAAAAAAAAACAGAGAAATAAACTAATATATATTGAGTGCTAACTATGAGTCTGCACAGTTTTCATTCCATATCTCATTTCTTATAATAATGTCATGAGTATAAGGATTATTCCCATTTTACAGACACAGAAAACAAAGCTCAGAGAGGTCAAACGGAGTACACATCTAAACCAAGATTAGGAAACAGATTGGCTTGAGAATAATCAAATCTTATTCTCTTCCCTCAATGTCATGTCACCACCAAATCCTTTAGATCTAACAGAAAGGACTTATCCCGGGCCTGCGTATGCAACTTTCAACTCCAGCTCTAAGTCATAGCTACTTACCAGCCTGCAACAGGAGGTTATTCAACATGTAGACAAGGGGGAAAGGGCCAGTGCTACAGAAAACGCCCCTGACGTCATCCAGGTCCGATGTCCACACCATGCCCCACCCCGCCGCCAAAAATGTTCTCTCTTTATGAACAATGCCTGGAAAAGTAGTAGTCAGTCAACCTCCTGTACTGCCCATTCTCCAGGCTGGGTACAATGGCAAAAAAGAGAAGACAGACGGTCAGGAGGCAATACAGCAGGATGGTTGGGAGGATAGTCTGTGTTTAACTCTAACCTCTACCACTTATTAGCTATGGAGTCTTCAAAAACTGAGATTTCATCTCTTCGAAATAAAAAAGATTGAAGTAGATGAGATTAGGAAACCCCAGTTAGTTTGGATATGCCTGAAACTCACCCACTGTAGTCATCTGCACATTTTCATCCTCCACCCGGTACACAGAGAGAGAAAGAAAGAGTCAAAGAGAGAGAGAGAGAGAGAGAGAGAGGGAACAGACAAGGGCCTCATGGGAGCCAGAGGGAAATTATATGCTGGAGTAAGAAGGAATCAAGTTCTTACCTTGTGTCTGAAGCTGATGGCATCATCATAGCCAACCCACTTCTCCCTATTGTAGGCGCATGGGACATACTGATAATCAATCCAGCACTTCTTAGCTCTCTGGAGAAAGCAAATCTGCCAGAAGGATGACAGATTACTTCTGTGAAGTGCCATGGAGAGAAGCACCAGCAGACACATACTTCCTTGCCCAGAAATGAAGAATCCAAGAATCCCTCCCCAGAGGATGAGAAGAAGCTAGACAGAAGAGAGAGAGGGGAAGCCCCTCACAAAGGACCTGACCCCTATTCTGAATGAATTCCTGCTCTTACATGCCTTCCTCTAATGTCCATGATGGAAGACAGGGAAGAGACTAAGGAGCGGGCGACTTCCTTCAGGAAGCAGACCTGGGTTTGCAAAACCATGCCAATGCCAAACTACCAGCAGCAGTGAACCTGACCCTTGACCAAGCCTGTACCTTTTTCAAAGAGTTTTCTGCCCCATCTAGGTAGTTATCAAACTAGTGTTTGAACCTCTAATAAATGTAAGGGTCTCAAAGGCAAAGAGAAATAGGTTATTATAATCAATCAAGCATCTGAGTGTCAGCTGGGTGCCCAGCATTGTACTGGAACCATATGCTGCAGAGGACAGTGTTCAAGACGGGTTGCAGAAGCTAATGCCTAAGTCTTTTTTTTTTTTTTTTGGTTCTTTAAAAGTTCCATCAAAATCTCTTTGACCCATAATGTCCTTCAAGAACACTATTTCAACTATGCTGTGACTCATCACCATGCGTCATTGGATTAGCGGGAAAGCATCTCCACCGAGTCGGCACAGAGCAAGGATTGGAGAGACACCGACACCTCCATTACTACCTACGGCGAAGGCTTAGCCCTCCACCCCTCACCCCTACACACCTTGTGCCTTTGTATCGCTGTCCTCTGCCTTCCTATGTTGTCGTTTCTGTTCGTCAGGATCCTACCTGTGCTTCAAAGCTCTCCTTGAAACCGACCAGCCACACGCCCTGTGTCTCCTAGTCTCTTCTCGTGTGCTTCACACTCCCTTGGGTCCATGTCTCTTTTCTCCGCTCGGTAGCAAGCTTTGCTGAGATGGGGATTAAGGAAGTAGGATTGGAGTAGAGGAAAAAGGATCTGTATAGAGGATGTTTTGGGATTGCGTCAACATAATCTAGTAGTGGGGAGGGTGGGAGTCTGGGAGAGAGATGCAACGAGGCAGGCCGTGAGTGGTGAATGAGGGGTATGTGGTACTGCGGAGGGGGAGAGGTTATACTGTTCTTTTACTTTTGCAAATGTTTGAAATTACACATGTTCCAAATATTCATTATTTTATTCAGGCCACATAGATAAGTCAGGATTGACTTTTATGACATTTAAGATTCTTTTAAGGGGTAAAATATCTGTCCCTCTTTTATTCAGATTCCACCCAGCCTCTCACCCTTTACCAAGAACTCAGATAACTTCCCCTGAAGAAAAAGAAAATGTCCCAGATGGTGAATTTCCCTTGTCCTGTCTCTGGCTGTCACCCTTGCCTTTGCCCTTTGTCCTTCCTCTCGCCCAGGCTGCAGGTGAGAGAGGCCTAACTAATAGGAAGAGGTCCCTTTCCCTGTTATCTCATAATAAGCCAAGAAGCCAGACTGCTTGATGTGCTTCCCTGGAGATGCAGGTCCTATAGCTTCAGCCTGCAACCCATTCTTAGAGGCTTTGAGGAGGTGAAACAGATATCCACAGGTGGGGAACCCCGTGAGGAGCTACTCTGAGGGTGCTCCCAGCTTTGGCCAGTAATTGATGGCATGCGCCTGCAAGTAAGAAGAACACGAATCCCTCTTCGTTACCAAGAGCCAATGGCCTGGGCTCAGGGGCAGATGTCTGGGCCACCTGAGACCTTTCCTTCTCTCGCTGAAGATTTGGGGTCTCCGGGCCTAGAGAACAGGGGCTGTTATGTCCTGCGACCTTTTCCCAGCTTCCATGTAAGTCATAAGACAAGGCATTGACAAAGTCCAGGAGTCTGTAAAGGGCAAGAGGAGGAGACAGGAAAATCCTCAAGTCAGATCATAGTGCTAGCTAACCAGCTGTGCATCAGTCACCCAGGCTTTCCTACTATTTCTACCCGTGGGGCCCCCCCAAGCTGTGCCGCCCACTTGAGACGCTGCCCCTGGAACAAAGTGCTGGTTAGGGACAGCTGTGCCTCTGGATCTATGCCACCCTGAGAGTATCCATGGAAACCAGCAGGAGTCAAACAAGAAAACAAATGTCCCCAGGCCTGATACAAGTGCTAAGAGAGGTCTGCAAAAACCGTCAGGAGTAAAGCAGTGCTGTCCCATGGCGGTAGAAGAGCTTCCGTCTTTCTACCATTTAAGAAAGCATTAAAACTCGTCTCATCCGGAAAGCTGTCACCACGACGAAGTATGACTGAGCACTTACCAGGTCACATGTCTAAGGGTTTACATGAATTATCTAATTTAATTTCCATCTGGCCAGTACCCTAAGTACAAATGTCTCCACTTTAAAGTTGTAGAAACTGAGCCTCAGACGGGTTAACTAATCTGCCTAAGGTCACCCAGCTGGGTGAAGGTGAAGGTAGGCCTCCCTCAGTCCTGCATGGCTGTCGCACCAAGACCAACACCAACAAACACCAACACCAACACCAACACCGACACCAACACCGATGAGCCGCGCTCGCCTGGGCCACTCTTCTTCCCACCCACGTTGAAGCCACCCCCCCCCGTGGAACCACACACAGAAACGCCCCGTCCTCTCTTTGGTTCTGCATCTGCCTCAGTTTCCTCATCTGCAAATACTAGATTCCTGACGACTGAGCAAATTAGTTCAGAGCTGGCCTGTCCAGAAAGAGTTCTGAGCTATTCTCTGTCTGGCTTTATAATGTTTGCATGAAGACATGTGCTCTGAAAGATGCGCCTGACTGGGC